GGCCTGCCCACTGCTGGGTCTGGGTTCAATTCTGACTAAGGGCATGTACCTAGGTTGCAGGCTCCTCCCTGGCCTGGGCCCAGGTCAGGGCTCATGCAGGAGGCAACCAATCAAAGTGTTCCTCTCACTTTGATGTTACTCTCTGTCTTTCACTTTCTCTTCCACATTCTCTAAAAATCAATGGAAACATATCCTCAGGTGAGGATAAAAAATATAATAAAGAAATGTCATGTCCTATGAAAGACACATCTTGAAAATGCCTAAAGAAAGTTGTCATTTTTTCACGGTAAAGGGACTGGAGTCCGTGTTGATGAAAACACCTTGGTGGCTGCGGTGACTGGCAGTGGCTGCAGCATCGGGGTGTTGGGGCTGGTGCCTTCCCCTGACCAGCCCGGTCGCCTCCCAAAAAGGGAGGCCAGACTGTGGCTTAGGCCCGCTCCCCAAGGGGAGCAGGGAGTAGGACATCCCCTGAGGGCTCCCAGTATGTGATAGGGGGCAAGCTGGGCTGAGGGGACCCCCTCCCTCCAGTGCACAAATTTTTGTGCACCGGGCCTCTAGTATACATATATTTTGTTTTTGTTTTTCTTTAAATTGTTTCACCAAACCTGTGAAGAGGCCTATCATCTATATTTTATTATTGAGGAAACTAGAGGCCCAGTGCACGAATTCGTGCATGGGTGGGGTCCCTCTGGGTGGCCTGCAGGGATAGGGCCAAACCCCACAGTCCAACGCTGTCTGCAGCCCCTCCCTGCCACTCTTGCTCATCCCGGCCCCACTGTGCCTGCCGCGGGCTTGCACCCAATCAGTCCCAATCAGGAGAGGCTCGCGCTGCCACACCAGCGCTCACCATCCATGAGCCCTGCGTCTGGCGCCCTCCCAAGGGGATTGGCCTGTGGGATGGGGCTGAAACAGGCTCTCTGACATCATCTGAGGGGTCCTGGATTGTAAGAGGGCACAGGCCAGGCTGAAGGACCCCACCAGTGTACGATCGGGCCAGGGAGGGACCATGGGAGGACTTCAGGGCATGTCTGGCCCATCTCTCTCAGTCCTGATTGGCCAGACCCCAGCAGCAACCTAACCTACCAGTCGGAGCATCTGCCCCCTGGTGATCAGTGCACGTCATAGCAAGCAGTTGAGCAGCCTTAGCATATCATTAGCATATTACACTTTGGTTGGTTATTCGGTTGTTCTGCCGTTTGGTCTATTTGCATATTACCTTTTTATTATATAGGACTAGAGACCTGGCGCACAAAAATCTGTGCACTCGGGGGGTCCCTCAGCCCAGCCTGTGCCCTCTCACAGTCTGGGACCCCTCAGGGGATGTCCACCTGCTGGCTTGGCCCACTCCCCCGGGGGATCAGGCCTCAGCTGGCAGTCAGACATCCCTCTGGCAGCCTGGGAGCCCTCAGGGGATGTCCACTTGCCAGTGGGAAGCAGGCCTAAGCTGCAGTTGGACAACCTTAGTGCTGCTGAGGAGGCAGGAGAGGCTCCCACCACCACCTCTGTACTGGCAGGCTGGCTTATGGCTGAGCAGAGCTCCCCCTGTGGGAGCGTACTGACCACCAGGGGGCAGCTTTTGCATTGAGCGTCTGCCCCCTGGTGGTCAGTGTGTGTCACAGTGACCAGTCATTCCCAGTCGTTCTGCTGTTAGGGTAAATTTGCATATTACCCTTTTATTATATAGGATAGAGGTCTGGTGCACGGGTGGGGGCCGGCTGGTTTGCCCTGAAGGGTGTCCCGGATCATGGTGGGGGTCCCACTGGGGTGCCTGGCCAGCCTGGGTGAGGGGCTGATGGCTGTTTTCAGGCTGGCCAAGCCCCCCAGCGGGGATCCTCACCCCATGGGGGTGTGGTCAGCCTGGGTGAGGGGCTGA